CGGAGCAGAAGCGCTAGCAGCAGTAGAAGTAGTAGTAGCAGCCGCAGCAGGAGGAGTAGTAGTCGTCGTCGTAGTCGAAGTACAGTCGAAGAACGCCGAGACGCGACGTTGTCCTGGTCAGGTTCGGGAGCAGATAGATGCCAAGGTCGCCGAGTGGCGCGAGGAGGGCAAGGCGGGGCTCGGGCTGTTAGGGCTTCAAGGAATTTGAGGTTTTTGGGGTTTAGACTTTCTATACGTTCGTGTTTCTAGATCCGCTGCGGGTCTGTTTGCGGCTGTCGAGTGCGCCAGGCAGACATTGTTCCAGGAGTGCTCTTCATCGATGAGGCCGGTTGTCCAGACAGAAGCGGCGTTAGCACGCAACTTGCACGCAACAAGCCTGGCTTGCGCCGTTCCATGACGTCCAAGAGGTGCACATGCTGGATATCGAGTGCTTCTCCTTCCTGAACAGAGCGCTGGAGGTCCACCCAACGGCTTCCCGTGAAGATACCAAGTCCACGTGGTCGCAGCTCATCCAAGGCTCCATGAACGCGGTGACTGGCATCTTAGGATTCGCGCCTGCTGTGCATGTCCTTAGCTGGATCCTGGCTTATTCAGCTAGCTCTGCTGTCTTATGCAAGACACATGCTCACGTGGAAAGCTCAGCAAACCTGGCTAGTCAATCCGTGCTAAGTTCTGAAGCACGGTAAACGGCCACAGCAGAGCTCCGTCAAAAACTCGCGTTCGCACTTCACTTTCAATTGGTGCCATGCCCTTCTTCGGGAAGAAAAAGAAGAAGCAGGACTCCAAGTCAGTGTCCGAAGCTCATCTTCTTTTGGACAGCAGCAAGCATGCACAAAGCAACGGCGCCCGGACGAGGGGAATTCTTGAAAGCAGGCCAGACCTTCCCAAACTGGATCTGGCTTTGACGATTGCATGCATCTCGGCTTATAGACTGGCAGATCAGCTGCGTTCCCCGCAAACTGCAGTGCAGGAGCTTTGCGACGTCTTGTGACATTCGGCTGGGTTCTTGTAACTCCTTTGAGCGAGGCTTTGCCTTCCTGATCGTGGATACCGCTGCTGAGTCGCAGAAAGCTTCTCACGTCAGGCCATATCTGAACAGTGGTGACGGGTTTGAGCAGACAGGTTTCCCGATACGGTCCGGGCTGAGGCACTCTTCACGCAGTATGAAGGGTCTCATGTCGTGGCAGAGCTGGCCGTGCGGCTTGGCTCGGAAAGGGCAGTGCCTGCTCTGCCGTCTCGATCATGGGCCGGCGATGAGTAAGTAGCAGAGGGGTGAATATACAGTTGCATGTGCTTAGTGAAACCGTTCGAATCCCGAGGTCATTGCCGTACGTAGCTGACCTTGAGAAGCGAAATCGCACCCCACACAGAGCGACATGCAGGTACATGTTGGTGACAGCTGTGGCGATTGCAGCATGTAGCTTAGATGCACTAGCTTTGCCAGAAAAAGGGCTGGTCCTTCATGTGCGGCAGCTTTGCTTTCTTTGGATTTGGGATGGCGCGCCTCAAACAGCCTGGCAGCCACAGGCCGCGCTGCAGCAACGGCCATGGGACGAGCGCTGTCTACAAAGGAGGCGGGACCGCGGGTTCCCGCCCCTTCTCACAGAGGCACATCGTTTCTTCACGTGTCTTCCGGCGAGACGCTACGACTCATGTGGGCATATTCCTTGATAAGTCAGCATTTTACAAACGTGAAAGTATCGCCTGATCTCCAGGCTTTGGCCGCCCCTCGCTACTTGGCATGCACAGGGGACAGGTGTGAAAGATGTCTGCGGGGACTGGCTTTGAAATTTGATGTCCCTGTCTGATATTCCTATTGCAACCCATGTGAGCCTGAACACTTGAACATGTTCAAGGCAGGCCCGTAACCGTAATTGCACGCCAAACATCAAAAACCCCGAGCCTTTCCCCTTTGTGGGCCACTGGACCTAAGGGAACCTTCGGAAATTCTCCGACCAGTCCTGGCAACTTGTTGTGCACGTGCTGATGACCGCCTACGCTCCCTGCCAAAGATGGAGATTTTGTGGGCCTTTTGGGAGGGTTTTGGAGTCATGTTGGAGCCCAGCCGAAGAGGCCTTCCTCGGAACATGTTGCGGGCAAGTCCAAGAGACAAAGTGAAACTCACGGTCTAGAAGCAGATCGGTAGTGTGCTGCTCATACTCATACCAATGGCCGCAGCTAATATTCACACAAGAAGGTGTATGGCTGATCGTGTTGTGAAACGGCTTGGTGATCAGGAAGTCCTGCTATTCCAAAGGAATGGCGCCATCCTCAGACGATCTGCGTGCAAGGGGTTGAAAACCAGCCGCGGAAGAAAATGCTTAGTGGCCGTCACATCCTGAGTTTATTGCTCAGTGGCTCGGTACTGTCTGCGCTTGCCAAGGCTGGGAGTGGTGGACGGACACAACGAAGCTGGGCAAAAATGCTGCACCGCATTCTCAGTGTCGCATCTCCTGCATACGGCATTGAAGTTTATGTTGCATTTCCGGCTTTCTCTCGGCGGAGTGCGCTGGCAAGGACTCTCTGGGACCGTCCCTGGCAAGATAGCCGCCACCCTTGAACGAAGGATCATTTCAGGGTTTCAGGGAACTGTTTCTGATAATAAGAATAAGAATTAGAAGAAGAAGAATATTAATACCTATAATAAGAATTGTAGGTCAGTAGGCCGCCTGAACCCCCCCCCCCCCTCCCCCCCACAGCTCTTCTGGAAGCTGAGGTGGCGAGTGTCCGCCAGATCTTCGGACGTTGTACATCGCACAGCTGGCCATCTGGTTCCTCGGAAGGAGATGCGCATGTGAGGCGTTTGTGGGCCTGGAAGTAGGGCTACCGTTCTCCTTGGGTGTTTAGGGTGTCGGCGGGGCGTCGGCCACATTGCTGATTTAGCCTCCGCCAGCTTAACATCATACGCTGAGCTGCAGGAAGATTCTACTGAGGTTTGTGACAGCCTTTTCGCACAAGTTTGTGGAAGCCAAGCACAACGATTACTTCGACACTTGGCCTGAACTGAGAGGCACACGCCCATTCACGAGAGAGCACACCTTTCATCGCCTCTAAGGTGATGTACGGGCATCACGTCGCCACCCTGGGCTTGGTCTCGCTCTCCTACTTCAACGGCTGGCAGCCAATTGGTGCCGGGCTTAGCCAGGCGTGAAGTTCTTGCCAGGTGCCTGCTAAGGCTCCGGATGTTGAAGCCGCTCATTGGTTGTGCTTTTTGGATGTTGCGGCTTCCCATCGCTGTACCAGGGCTGAGCACACTCTTCGTACACGACTCCTCGGACATCGTGGTCGACTTGCTCCTTGTCAAGCTATGCCTGCTTGATCAAGTTGACAGCCTGACCAGTGTTGGCAGGTAGAGTCGGTGGGGTGGTTCCAGATTTTCATAGCCCGCCGTTTGAATCACTGCAGGGCTGAACAGTCCGGTGGCAGTGTGGTCACCCTGGGCTGTCTTGTTGGTGCATTCACCACAAAACCAATCCTTTCGTGAATAGGGCCTTCCGACACATGTGACGTGATTCCGCTCTAGAACTGGAATTTGTGCCCTGGACAGTTATGAGAGAATAACACTTGTAAGACTTTTGTAAGGTTGAAAATGGTGAACTACCTCGGGTATGTCGCCTGGCTGTGCGTGTATCGCGGACAAGAGCCCATTCTTCAGCAATGCAGGGCTAACGCAGGGTGCCGCACGAAAGCTCGGGACGCCGTATCTCTGTGGCCGAGGACTCGAAGAGCGGACTTTTCCTTGCAGAGGGCTTCTTTGCTGTCAACCTGGTCACGTGGTTCCTGATGCGCAGCCTGGCTGAGAAACTCAGGCTTTCCAGACTCCTGGACTTCACACGCCCAGACCGAGGTACTTACTTCTTCATTCTGAAGGTCATCAGGCGGGGAATCTGCCAAAGCAAGTGCCATGAGAGTTCTTTGCCAGAGCTTTTTTGTACTGTGTCTACCTTTTTGCTCTCAGGTCAACCATCCCGAAAGATTTCTTCGCACCTGGGTGGGGTACCGTGGCTCTGGAAACAGAGAGTCATCCAATTATGTGTGTCGTAGTCTGCATATGTCTGCATCCTGCATACATGTAAACAAACAGAGATGTATACATACATACGTACGTACGTACGTACGTACGTACGTACGTACGTACATACACATGTGTATGTGCATATGTCAACGTCTATGTACATGTGCACGTGTATATGCAATGTATATGGATTTGTACAGGTATGTGTATATGCATATGCATATCTTCGTGCGTATGTGTATGTGTATATATACATACACATACGTGCACATATGAATGTGTCGGAACTTATACGCACACGCAGAGAGAGTGTGTGAGTATATACGTATATACATACTTATAGTGTACACATGTATGTTTATGTTTATGTTTATGTTTATGTGTACGTGTATGTGTATGTGTAAGTGGATGTGGATGCGGATGCGGATGTGTATGTGTATGTGTATGTGTATGCGCATGCGTATGTGCATGTGTATGTGTATGTATGTACGTGTGTATGTACGTGTGTGTGTGTATGTATGTATGTATGTATGTATGTATGTATGTATGTATGTATGTATGTATGTATGTATGTATGTGTGTATCGAGCCTTTAGGGCTTTGCCGGATTCCTCAAGGGTGCCTTTCCTGCAACGGCTGTGAGTGGAAATTCCCCGCTCTGGCACCGCAAGCAGCGCCGCAAAAGATCGACCGCGAGGAAGCGGATTTGGGTAGGTTGGCGCCGAGGACTCTGTCCTGGCATCGCGACCTCGACCTGCTTGAATGCCATCACACCCGCCCATTGTACACAGAGTCTTTAGCTAAGGTTATACGACCCATGGGACGAGCAATCAAAACAAGCAGAAATGAGAAGAGGACTCAGGCTGACGTGTGTGGAAAGGTTGGTGGTCTGCCTCGCCTGGCAGATCCACTGGATCGGCGGAGCTACGCTGCGACCAGATGGTACCGAACACCCAGCGTCCAGCTGGGGTATGGATGGCACCATCTGCACAGGCAGAGGAGGACAGCCTCACGTGAACCGAGTGCAAAAGGTGCTCACCGTGGCCAAGCGAGCAGACACGAAGGTGAAGAAGATGCTACAGGAGAAGGAGCTGCGGAAGAAACAATGGGAATCGTATGCAGCCGAGGCAAAGTTGCGCTTCATCCATCAAAGGCAGCTACGAGAACGACATCGCGAGGCTGGATCGAATGCATGCTGGCCAGCGCACTTTGCGGGGCTGGAAGCCGGAATCAATTGACTTTTGAGGCCCTGGCTCGTCGTGAGGCAGCTCATGGTGGCCCGGCGACGGCCTTGCCTCACCCGACAGACATCGCGGACATTCCTAGCCTGCCACCGCTCCGTCGTGTGCTTTCCTCTACCAGACCAGAAAAGCGTCGGGCTTTGAAGCCATTGCTGGGCACATTGAACCAGGCAACAACACAATGGCCTGACGCGCACACGCAATCGGCCTGGCATGCCGGAATGATGCTTTTGTTGCTGGATCCAGACGTTATTGCCGAATCCAGGCAGGAGTCGTCAGCCAAGGCTCAGCTACCAACGTCCTCTACCAACGTCCTCCACACCAGCCTGTCAGCCCCCTGCGCAGATCCCCATGGCTCTTTCTGGTGATCCGCACGTTCAAAGCCTTGAACCGCTGCCAGGTGGTCATGTTGCCCCACGCACCGACAAGCATTACCTACCACTTGGCCAGAAGCGGCCTGTGAGGCCTACTGTTCCGCCCGTGAGGCCTGCTCTTCCTGTGTATCCGAGGCTGCGCTTCGCCCCGTCCGTCTGTTATGTCCTGGTCTTAATGTTGTCCTCGGACCTGCTTCAGTCTGCCTCATGAGTTTTCATCTGTTTCACAGAATTCGAGCAAGGCGAGCGTCGGGACAGGACTCTACTGCGGCAAATGGAAATGTATGTATGTAGTACGTGTGTACGTACGTATGTATATATGAGTATGTACATGTGTAGCAAGCGAACAGAATGCAGGAAACTATGGGTATGCAGAACGAAGACGCAAGCTTGAGACCAATGCGCCCGGATGAGGCGACTATGACCGCAGTGCACCCCTCGTCAGCCCTCAAAATGCTTGCCGGCTGCTGCTCATCGTCCTTGGCCTGATGCATGTGCATCTTGGAGGCTTCCAGCGCACGTGGGGCTCGGGGCCCGCTTTCCAAGACTTGTGCAAAGCGGGCTCTGGCAAGCTTCGCTGTTGAATTCATGTCTCATGTCTCCTCCTGGACCAGCATCTAAGAGCTCTGGAGACACATCCTTTTCTTTAGCTTTGCAGGTGCAGGCTTCCGGGTTCTAGAAACCATCTCCATGCGCGCTCCAGGATGTTTCACGTTTCCCAGCACGCCCATGAGCACAAACTGATACGGAGAGACCTGTACGATCGCAGGGGTTCGCCACCTATGCATGGTCTTGAAACGCTCTCCCGGCCCTCCCTGGCTGTGTATGCAGTTGACTCTGGCACAGTGCAAGTAGCTTCCACCCTCTCGAGCCAGTCAGGGTTCTTGTTTTATAGCAACCTTGAGTAACTCAGGCCCCCAAGCATTCAGCCACTGCGCGCGAAATCCTCGACTCCTCCTCTAATCCTTCGCGCTGCCTGTCTTCTCTTTCTTGTTTCGAGCCTCAAGGCCTCAACGGCACGAAGTCCAAGCTCATGTCGTGCTCTTGGTTGGGGGGGCCGAGGTACTGGTACTGCCTCTTCTGGCGGATCCTGGTTCGGCTACTGCGAGGCTCTGCAGGTCATGAGGCCGGCAGAGAATACGAGGCCGGTCGGAAAGGATGTGACTCATCGTGACACACTGCAGTGGTCTTGGTTTCAGTCGTAGTCCCTGCCATTGTCATGAACATCATCATCATAATCATAGCAGTGATGAAGAGGGTGGTGGTAGCAGAGTACCAGTAGTAGTAGTGGTGGCGGTGGTGGTGGTGGTACCGGCAGTAGCAGCAGCAGCAGCAGCAGCGGCGGCAGAAGTAGTAGTAGTGGCAGTAGCAGTCGTAGTAGTGATGGTAGTGGCAGTGGCAGTGGCAGTGGTAGTGGTAGTGGTCGTGGTGGTGGTGGTAGTAGTAGTCGTCGTCGTAGTAGTAGTAGGTCCGTCATTGTCTGTAGGAGGTTGAACAGCCAAGAGTCAAGAAAGCCCTCACTGAGCTGAATTGGGCTCCCGTCCATTATG